CAAATGAAAGTTAATTTAATAAAATAATAAAAATATCTACACCGTAACATTTTAGCGCCGATCTCGAGGCATGTGCATCGTATGATATTGGTACAAGTTGCGATAACTGCCCAGAAGGAACCCATTGCAAGAACAAATTGTGCCATGCTGGTCCTGGCAACTAGACAGAAAGTGCAAAACTGTCAATGAATGAACCGACGGCACTTCCATGTTACTTTCAAATTAAATAATTAAATAGAATCGGTTTTATTTGTTTGTTTTATTCATTATGCACATCCGATATTATTGTTTTATCAGTGATTGGGTTACTTATAAGTTTATTTTTTGAGATTCATTTTGCATAACTGCAAATCGCTTGAGAATATATATATATAAATACATATCAAAATTTTGCCAATATTTTGCCTGAGAGAAGTAACAGATTATTCCAACACATCAGGCGCAGGAGACCTTACATTTCATTTTACATTTTGGTGTTCTTCTGACAAGTTGTTCCCTCTCTGTTGCTGTATTTATCCGTGCGTAGACGAGATAAAAGGCAGGGTTGAACAAGAGAAAAGAACCAGGTTTATGAGGTTAAGTCGACAAACTTAAATTATTAAATAGTCAACAAGTAGTAGAGAATATAAAAATTGTCATTATTGCAAGAATCAGCGTGTGAGATTAATTGAAGGTTATTTGTCATTTAAGATTTTACTCAAACCTTTATTTCGCGATTTGTTAAGCCATATAGAGTTTTTTGTGGACATGAAGGAGGTGATTCTATGTTCCCAATAATGGTGTCCAATAAAGTTACTACTTCACTTGGGGTGCATTCACTTTCAAAATATTGCCTCAAGTAGAACAAAATCTTTCGATGTCGACTGATTCATAATTTTGCATTACCTTTGTTTGCAAAATTTCGTTTTCTCTAACCATTAGATTACTCTTATTCACGTGGAAGTATATGAAATGCCAGCAGTCAAACTTGGACACATGAAAAGGATTCATAATATTAAATGCCTGGGGTACGCGATAGACTTACCTCCATGTAGTGCACCCTTGGCAAGGGCAAAAAAGTCTATCACTCTGCATTTTGACTTCCATTTATTCTGATTAGCTTGAAAAAAGGCTATAAGAAAAATCGCCCTCGTCCTGGCGAATCACAACGTCTTGAAAGCCTCCGGTGGAATGCTGGAGGGATGTCAACGGACATAAAGATCCAAGTACAGAAAATCCTACAAAGCTATAATGTAGACATTTTCACAATTATGGATTTAAAAATTTCGGATGACAAACTGAAGTACTACCAATTCCCAAGTTACATCCTGTACAATCTACCTAAATACCGGCAAGTTGCGTTAACCCTGATGCCAAACTGAAGTACTACCAATTCCCAGGTTACACCCTGTACAATTTACCTAAATACCGGCAAGTTGCAATGGAATTCTGACTGGAGTAATAGAAGGCCTCACCTCACACTACGATCTAATCAAGAGTATGTGGTCTCCTCACATTCCGATCTAATCAAGAGTATGGGCTCGACGCAAGCCACTAAGATCTAATCAAGAGTATGGGCTCGGCACAAGACATAAGTGAGCGATCTAATCAAGAGTATGGGCTCGACACAACACATCTGCGAAATAATCAGATTAAATATTTAGAAATGTCAAAACCACTTCAAGATATATGCAATCTATAATCCACCTCAGAATTGTCCCAACTTTGACTTTCTTGTAATCCACCCCAGAATTGTCCCAACTTTGACTATCTGAACCCCACCCCAGAATTGTCCAAACTTTGACTTCCTGAACATCTCATCCCAGAATTGTCCCAACTTTGACTTTCTGAACATCTCACTAACCAGAATTGTCCCAACTTTGACTTTCTGAACAACTCACACATGTCAAAACCACTTTAAGGTATATGCAGTCTATAATCAACCCCCAGAATTGCCCCAACTTTGATTTTCTGAACATCTAACACAAACTTTAGTATTAGGCGACTTCAACGCCCATTCCACCGGTTGGGGCTACAAGGACACAAACATATCTGGAAAGGAAATTGAAGACATGTTAAACAGCAACCCTCTGGAACTTATTTGCAGCAATGAGGATAAGGCTACATATTTGCACTACAATGGAACCAGAACAACTCCTGACTTACTCTTGGCTTCAAGTGACATCAGTGAGCATACACGCCGCAAAATAATTGACGATCCTGGTTCTGGTCACAAACCAGTCATTGCTAGTATTACCATCGGCAGCAAAAGCAAGACAAGGAAAGTGCCAACTAAGCTATCATGGAACTTTAAGAGGGCTGACTGGACTAGATTCACAAACCTTTTGGAGAATGAACTTCACACAAGCAAGATTCACTAACCTTTTAGACAATGAACTTCACACAAGTCTCTAAACTTCAACCAAAATCCTGACAAACTTTGCAATGATAACGACTTCAACCAACATCCTGATAAACTTTGCACTGATATCACTCTGACAAACTTTGCAATGATATCACGAATATTATGATCAGATCTGCAAAGAAAACTATTTCCCGAGGCAAGACTAAACACTATCGAGTATTTAGGTCTAAACACCTTGCTTTATGCAGATGATCTTGTTCTATGGTATTCCGTCCTTAAGAAAAACGCTCAGGAAAATATGGAAAGTGCCCTAAATTGTGCACCTAAATTACCAGCAAACTGGTGCGACAACGTTGGAATGGTAATCAACACCGCAAAAACTGCATTCCACACTTTTTGTATGGCCCGTCACAGCATAAACCCGCTTCTAAGGAACAAGAATACCACCATAGAAAAAACCAATAAGTTCAAATAACTCGGAATGACGTTTGACATAAAGCTAACGTGGAAAAGTCACATTGCTAAAATATCAGAACGACTCTCCAAGAGACTGAATGTACTGAATCGTCTTGCTAGTAGCGTATGGGGCTGTGCGCGCTCAACTCCCAACACCACTTACAAGATGTTTATTCAGCCAATAATGTTGCATTGCTGTGAGCCACTCATTACAGCCACAGAGGTGACTCTCAAACCCCTCGAGAAGGCATACAACCAGGCATTACGACTAATTACTGGAGGGTAAAATCAACACCCATTGATGCAATGCTCCTAGTTACAGGAAGCACCACAATGTTCCCTTATCAAAGAAAAGGCCTTAATCCTGTATGAGAAGCTACTACGCATTCCCATGGATAAGTTCTTTAGCACCTATGAGAATAGACCAAGACATCTGAAAACGCAATCTGGTCGAATACAGAAAGCCATAGAACTGAAGAAGGAATAACAAATTGATGGCAAACCAAAAGCCTCTCTCTCTCCATGAACCAATTAGCAGACATTGATGTAGTGTGTTACATTCAACTGCTCGACTCCTTCAGGAAATCAAACACTCTTTCAGAACAAATGCGCCCACTGGCCCTTGTGACAATCAATGTCAACTATCCTGCAGATCAATGGCTCCAAGTCTTCACTGATGGGTCATACACAGAAAACCAAGCAAACGTTGGTGCAGGTGTCTATTCTGAACTCTTCTCTTTCTACGTAGCAGTGAGACAATAGATCCGCTTTTGAAGTAGAAATAGAGACCATTAGGATGGCACTATGCCAATTATGTTGCCTGGATACGAAATTTACCAAAGCGGTGATACTTTCGAACTCACAGTCAGCAATAGACTCAATCGGAAACAG